TTTTTTTTTTTTTTTTTTTTTGACTGGGCTTCCGACATCTAGGTCATTTCAGCTCCCAACTAAGTTTATATTCTATGTACCCTTTCAAACACTACTTTCATACAAATAAATACATTCATACACATAAATACAGCATACAGTACACTCATTCCGTTTGGTCGGTGGAGTACTTGATATTCCTCCACCAACCCTATACTCAAACTAATCTAGATTGGGGTACTTTTATAAATATTCCGCCATCGACCCCGAACACACACTCTTACGCTCTCATCGTTCGAGGGGTGATGATGACGTTATATTTCACCCTCACCCCTCGCCATTCACGCTAATAAATACATGCACTCAGACAAAACATATAGACCCTCAACACATAAGACATACTATATACAATAAAAAAAACCCAAATTCCCCTAAAAAGCGGAACAGGAGACTGAAACTCGCTACCGTGTTCGAGAACTCTTCTTAAATCCGGCGGCATGCTTACACGCTCTCTGTATGGAGCCAAGACATGACATGTTTCCAGTATGTGGGACACATCGAGCAACCTTTCTCTGCATAAGGGGCACCTGCGCGGGCTTTGGCATTTATCTGATGTTAATGCTAATATTTCTGTGAATTCAATTTTTTTTTTTTTTTTTTGAAAACTCGTTAGAAGTACAAAACTAATACAGTGGAACCCCTCCATGATGAACAGGCAAGAAAGATTTGACAAGTTTTTGTCCTGGGTAACCATTCAGGAAGAGTTTAAATTTTTTAATATAATTCGAGCTGTAGTGCATAAATCATAATACTTTAAATATTTAAACGGGTCTTACAAAATAAATAAAAATATTTACATTAAACAAAACTGTGCTTGTCACTGCAAGGTAAAGGTCCTGGATTCCAGCTAGCAGCAACTAGCATCCTGAATTTTTAAAATCTTTAAAGATTAATAAATTTTTAAAGAAGAAACAGAATTTATTAAGATGAAACAGTTCATAAGAAACCCTAGGAAAAAAGGAAAAAGAAACTTCAAAGACCAGAACAATGTGTGTTTTTATTTTTTTATTTTTTTTTAAGCAACCGGTTGTTTAATGTGTTTAATAATTTGTTTAATTTGTGAGGAGTGGACATGATTGAGTTAGTTTAGAAAAAAACCTTTTTCATTGTTTTGTTTTGACCATCCCTTTATTGGCAGGCATAAAGAGAGGTGCTGCTTATGTCCATTCTAGAAGGGTGAATTACTCTGATGGGGGCTGATAGTAGTTTTTGTGACCAGTGTAGAAGGGTTTCATTATAGATGGTTTAAAATGTATTTAATTTCTATATTTTTTGCGATGGAATGCAAACATTGTCTGTTAAAAGGTGGTCGTTATAAAGGAAGGCTGTTAAAAAGACTATGCAACTTGCTGTGATTGACCTTTTATTTATTCACTATTTTGGAGTTTACATCGACAAAACCCTTGTAACTAAAAATCTTAAAAGTCATAAATGAACAGATAAACTACTCTTACAACCAATGTGGATGTATGGAACTGTGGGGTTCCAAAGATTCTAGTCACTCCAGTCCAAAACCTTTGAACAATTGCCTAAGCTCCCTACTTCATATCTAACCTTACAATCCCTAGCGAAGACAGTGAGTAGTGTCCAACAGGAGTGTAACTAATGGGTAATTTCTCATCTCTAGTGTAACAAAATTTAATGTAAGGACAAAAGAGGTGCTTGTAACATTCTAGGATGAGAAAAATGAGGATGAACTATAGCAAAAACTTTTTAAATGTTTTATTTTATATCTATGCGTTTAATTTCTTTATGGAGGCTGTTTGTGTCAGTGGGTGTACTATATAGTACATAATAAATATATTTTGATACTGTTAAATCGTATTTTTGTATAACAATATTATTATTTATTTAATTTTTCAGTGTTGCTGCATTAGTGCGTTAATTCAGTTACAACCATATCCAGTATTCTACAATCAACAATGGTATGAATACTTAATCTTTTTTAAATGAAACTTTAATGTGTATACTTGGAGTTTGTAAATTTCTGACTCTCTTAGGATCAAATGTTTAACCACTTTACATCAACATCCAATGGAAACAGATTTTCGCTGGATTTGGAAGATGGGATGAGACCACTTCTCACAGGTCAAACGTTTTTAGATCATTATCATGATGGAAAAACTGTGGTCATTCCGGATTCATTTTTACCACCCGGTTGGAGTAAACATGCATACAGGAATTTCGGCGCCTGGCTAACCTTTTTGCTCACGTAATCATCCATTTTATTAAATTCAATTTGTCATAGGTTTTTTTATATAAAGTTTGAGAATTTAATGTAAATATTTTACAGGCCGGATGGATACAGGATAGAAACCTACGATGAACTTGATAATTATTACTATGTCAAATTTCGTAAAACAAGGCCTACGACACTGGATTTTTCTCTTGATGAGGAACTGATTCCACAGCTTATTTACAGACAAGAGCACCTAATGCCAGTTGAACTTTTTCAATACTGGTTTGTCAATTTTTCAGTATTTCTTTTGCTTTCAGGTTTAAATTGATTAATAATTACTCCTAATTATTATACGATGTGTTGGCCTTTAAGTAATAACTTCCTGTCATTATTCAGTTGGACAGCACATCCTTTCTAGAAGCTTTTTGGGCTTATGATACAAAAATTCCAAGTCATGTAATCTTGTTATCATCATGTAACAATATTTTGCACAATTTTGTTAAAAACTTTCTCTTTGCACCCACATATTTTCTTAACTTCATGCAAAAACATTAAATTATGGATATGTAAAGTAACCTCAACCAAACATGTGTCTGTACCTAAACCTAATTCTAATCCTAATCCCAACTCTTTCTTGAACCTAAGCCTAACACTAATTCTAACCCACCCAAAACCTAACCTTCATCATAACCCCTTCCTTAAAGCTTACTTGTTCCTGATCCTGCCCTGTCCCTAACTCTAACTCTATGCTTACCCTAATTAAAATCGTGATACTCCCCTAAACCTAACCCTTATAACCGTCCTTAAACCTATACCTACCCCATCCCTAACTCTTAATCTAACCATCCCTAACCTTATCCTAACCATTTATTGAATGTAAACCTAACCATTCCTAACCTTAACCAAAATTTTTCTTGAACCTATTTCTAACCCACCCCTAAATTTAACCTTTATCATAAACTGTACTTAATCCTAACCCATTCCTAACCTAGTTGTAACCTGTTCTTAAAGCTAACCTGTTCCTGAACCTAAACCTGTCTCTAACCCTAACTCTTATCCAAATCCTAATTGTAATACGTCCATAGATTTAACCATTCTAACCAGACCTAAAGCCCGAATCAAACCTATCCCTAGCCCTTAATCTAACCGTCCCTGAAACTAACTTGTCCCTAACCTTAACCTAACAGTTTGTTTAACCTAAATAACCTGACCTTAATGCTAATCTTAATCATACTTTGTTCCTAGGCATAACCGTAATTCTAACCCTTCTCTAAACCTAACCCTAACCATAACTCTAATCATATCTCAAACTTTAATCCTAACTTTAGTTCTAATTTTAACACTAGCCTTAACCTAACAACCAATCTGGATTTTCTGATAACGCAAAATTGATGACCATGAACATTTGTGCATCCAACTAAAAACATGTCTGTATAAAAAATTGTTTCAAACAGAAGAAATGACTGATAGTATATTTTGTTCTGCACATTACACTATGCCATATTTTAGTAATGTAATAAGATAATTGTTAACGTTTGTTTGTTAAATTATACATCTTGGAGAAGAAATTTTTAAACAATTATTCTTCCGCTATTTCATTAAATTTCGAATTCAACAGTGCCCTTTTATTTTGTGTTGAATATTAAAGTAGATTCCCGCTAATCCGTATGTTCGTCTATAACCCGACCACATTCCAATTGGCAGATATTAATTTTTTTAGTTTGGAAAATATAGACTTAAGTGTGTTCCAGTTAAATTTAAATGATTTTAACATTTTCCCTCTCCAAACAACCTACTATTTTGCTGCATTTTTTCCCGAAATTGTGAGGTCTGAATGCATAAATAAATTCTTAACTGAAAACTGAAAATAAAAGTTTGGGCCTTTCCACCATTTTTTTAACCACCTTTCCCATTCTGTTTGGATTAACAGAATTATACTGTATTAAATTTAAAAAAAATTAACATTTGTGTGAAACATGACGTCTTAAATTACTCTTGTAATTCTAGGGAGATGCAGTACATCCCGACAGAAAAGGCAATGCTTATTTCAAATAGTCAAGACAGAAATGATGACGCATCGTGTTCACATTGGCCCATTTCTTATCCGAGTTCAGGCATATGCGGTAGTAAAATTAGACAGATTTAATTTTTGTTAATTAATTTTTTCAGTTAAATGACTTAGAAGAAGCTTTTTGATTATTTCAGGTGTGGAAAATGTCTCAAAGAATACATCTCCTTCTTGGGTTTGTCTTTCAACCATTTGTTTATTATTGTTTATTTATTACTTTGTTCTTTTCATGCCCATTTTAAAATTTGTTTTGAAGAAAAGCTGTGTGAATAATTTATAAAAAATGAAAAAGTTTATTTACAGGGAAAAGTACAAATAATCATTCGATACACAGTATAAACAGCACAGTCATTTGACATTTTCATATTGAGCAGTATGAATATAGTCGAAGTCTAAAACTTAATAATGAAGAATAACATTTTAAAGAACTTTTTGTTCCTTAGAAAAGGATAAATGAAATATACAAAGGAATTTATTGTTGAGATTTCAAAGTATTGCCTATCTCATTTGTTTTGCTGCTCAAAAAATTAACACAAATGTAATTAATTAAAGCTTGTCATTGGTTTTGTTAATGATCATTTTGATTACCAGAATGGATAATTTTTAATTTAAACAATTCTATTTTGTCATACTCTTAGTCGGCAGATTTCTTCGTACAGTAGTTGTGAAGTAATTAATACAACAGGGAACATTTTCAGCATGCCAATGACAACAAAATTAATTTCCCTTATCCAGCTCTCTTAGTTATAATTTGAGCAATTAGTTTTTGTAGGTTTCATGCTGATATTCCTCTCATATCAAACTCATATCAAATAATGTCTGGGTTTTTATCTCGTTGATTAAGAATTGCACTTAAAAATTTTGTCTATTTCTTAATGGGTGTATTTTGAGGCAGAATTGATCATGCCATTTGTAGGAATATGTTTAATAAAACAGGTGGTATCACAAAAAAAATTAATAAAAAAAAATTAACTGGAAACCGACAATCGCTTAGCAACGGGACTACGGATTTAGCTAATTTAATGATTGCTTGCTTTTAAATTTTATTGAATAAAATATTGGATTAGAAAGTATTTGCAGGATATACAAGACGAAGTGGATCCCTACACGCTGACAGGCAACATTCTCGAGTCTGACTCAGACGAATTTCCGAGTTCCGATTCTGAAGAAATATTTGCAACACAGCGTGAACCGGAACGACCAGTCCTAAAGACGATAGACGAAAATCAAAATCCTTCAAACATGGATTTGAATGGGAAATCCACAATGCCAAAATCGCCAAAGTTTGCTCGCGCTGCCAGCGTCCGATTGAAGGATTCCGTGGTGAAAAATAGCCCAGAAACGATGAAGGAAATCAATAAAATGTATCAATTTATGGGAAACACAAGAAATATTCCAAAAGAAATTTATTGTCCATTATCGTGAGTAATGAGAATAATGATATGCACTTAACAATTAAAGTGATACTGGTTTATTCTAATCCTTGGGAATTATTTCTTTTAGGATAGACGCATCTCGCAAAGGGTAAATATCACCTTTCCAATTTTGCATCTTCCTACTTACTACTAACCAATATTTTTTATTTATTGGAGTGCACTAAAAAAAAAAAAAAAAAATCAGTGTAAACTACCTAAATATTGTTATTAAAAAATCTTAATAGGGACATATGTTTCTATAAATCGCGTAAATTATGCCCTCTGTTTTACCAACAGTATTAGAAACTATTGTAAATACTCACAAGCTTAACCTGATCAACTGGAAGTAGCTACAGACATGGGATCACTGATTTTAATTAGCTTTTTTAAAAGTAATACTAGGTTAAAAAACATTAGACACGTCGGAGCGCTCTTGCCAATGTGCCCTAGGGTTGAGAAAAATATTTTCTTAAAACACATATTTTCTACCTTTGTTGTGCATGTATTTCAAGGTTATTTAATATAAAAAAGTAAAAGCTCAGCCATAAATTATTGCATTACATTCTAGTATGTAGCCATAATATGTGTATCACAGATATAGAAGTAGGCACTCTGTATGTATATTGCCCTCCAAACAACCCAATATCTTCAAACGAATTTGTTTCATTTTTCCATTCCCTTAGTCCTCTGTACCTGGAATCTTCTCAGCATCATTCATTCCTTACTGGCCAACCGTGATGATTTTCATCTCGTGGGCAGCACATCTCTACCACGAAATCCTTAACTTTACAGATATTTCAGATCATAGTCCTGTTACATCAGTTCCAAAAGTTATCTTACATAAGGCCCAGTTGATTGAAAGTTAGTTGTCTGCTGGTGAACAAAAACTAGACTTGATACCAAAACTGATGAAGGTACGAACTTGACCTACACATAACCAATACATAACACGACAGATCATACTGGAGCGCCACGCAAGAGCCAAGTAGCACTCATTATCTATCTGATGCCCATACAACCGACCAACTCACTTCTAAGAATTAAACTACAAACGTACAAACTCGACCTACACATAACCAATACATAACACGACAGATCATACTGGAGCGCCACGCAAGAGCCAAGTAGCACTCATTATCTATCTGATGCCCATACAACCGACCAACTCACTTCTAAGAAATAAACTACAAACCTTGATACAACAATGATTCCAATACTACACACGTTCACTGACTACTGAGAACAAATCTCTTTGGACAACACAGAATCCTATCCTATCAAACCATTCCTTCTCTTTGCTGAGATTAGGACTCTTGGGCTAGATCCAAGAAAAAGCTCCCATCCTGACCTGAATGATCAAACTTCAATATAACCATAGAGCAGGACCTGATATATCTTCTACTTCACCTTCACCATATACACCCAATGAAATATGCCATACCATTAAAGAATGTATCGGGTTAATGCAAGAATTGTTCCTACCTAAAAACTACTTTTCCTTACCTATATATACAATTCTGTCCTTAGAACTACATATACAAATCCAATGAAAATTTTCTTTCATCGGGATGATTGTAAAGTCTGAAAAACCTCAAACCTGAAAAAAACTTTCAAAAAACTTCTTTCATTCTTGTAACCTTATTCCTGACCACCAGTTTGGGTCCAGACATTCTGATTCCACTATTCAACAATGTCATCTTGTAGACACTAAAGGTGCTTTTAGTTGTGAAGTATGACTTAGATTACGACTAAGATAGTCTTTTCCTGTGTAGTTAACTTTGAAATTTTTCAGTTTTGATTGGAAGGACTCCACAGTTTAATTCTATCCAAATTGGTCGTGGTAATGTCTTGTTAATTAAGTCAAAAAAGACTTCAGTCCTAAGTCTTCGTAATTGTCAAAGTCTTGTGTGAGGATTTCATGCCAGGCTGCTGCCTAGGCTTAACTATCAGACTTAAATGGAAGTTTGTAGCGCCTTGTTGCACATTGGAGCTCCTAAAAGCATGTTTTAAAACGCATAAATTTATTGATTGGCTTTGAATCTACTTTATTGTCCGTAACAAATGTTTCTAACTCTCTAACATTTCTGACTGTTAAGACAGTTGATTTTTTTTAATTAACTAGTTTAATAACTTTAAATTTAACACTGAAAATTAGCCTTAAGTAATATTTAAGCACGGTAGAATTGTTTAAAATGTTAGAAACATCGAGGATTTTATGCGTATCATTTTTTTATAGCAACCAATCGTACAAATCGGCATATAAGGCTCATACTAGTATGGCTAGTACTGCTAAAACGGCTAACATGGCTAGTACGTCTAATAAACCATGGTTGAAACTTCCACCGGCATACCAAGAGTCCTCGTACCAAAATGATCAAATGAACAACAGTAAGATATTTTTAAATAATTTAATCTGAATAATATAGTGTAGTGAAATTGGCATGCAATAAATTATTAGCAAATAAATATATAATGCACAAAAAATATTTATTAGTCCATTGAGTGAGGTGACAAAAAAAACGCTCTAATTCCAACTGAAATAATCAAAAAGGTTTCTTATTTCTTCTTAGTATGAATTTTCTATTTTTGCGTGATTGTTAATACATTCATTTAGTTGGAAAGTATGTGTATTTCTTTAAATTGAGATATGTTTTTAGATAATATGACGAAGTTGTCCGACTTGATTGAAAAGGTTTTCATATGCTCATGTGGCCAGGAGTCGTGCCATAGCTGGGAGCCATCTATTCAGGTGATATAAAAAAATCATTTACCCATTTTTTAACACTTAATTTTCTTTTCGCCACAGTGTGGGAAGTGTCTCACATGGCAGCACATCGATTGTATGGCGGAAGAAGGCTTGGCTGTGGACAATGATTACATGTGTTTTATATGCGCCAAGAATGACCAGCAAGATTCCGACAATAGTTCACCGGACGAAAAAAGTCTTAATTCTTCAAAGTGAGCTTTTTTTCACAAACAAATTGCTCCAGTTTGCACTGAAATGTTTAATTTTTTGTACAGAGAGGCGAAGTTTGTTTACCAGCCGCGTAAGTCGATAAATGAAACAATTCGCGACGAACATCAGAGTTGCCTGGCTGAAGTAAAAGATGTCATTCAAGAGGCTGAAGAAATAAGACAAAAACTCTCGCACTTACGACAAATGGTTACAATGTATGAGTAAGTAATTTCCGTATGTAAAATGGTACAGTAAAAAGAATACTAAAACTTAGTAAACTGGGCACGTTTTATGACATTTTTATTTGTTAAAGGTAAGTAACTTTGTAATCCAGAGTATTCATGAGTAAAAAAGTGGTCGACTTTAAACAGAAATTTGTAATCAACTGTGGTTATCTCGATGTATTTCAGTATTAAAATTTTATATTAAAACTTAGATGCTAGTTTTGAAAGAAAAGAAAATACTCAGTTCCTTTGTCAAACTTTTGAGGATTATATACTCTTATCAAAAATAAAGAAAATTTGGTGCGGTCAGTTAACTGGATCATCCAAGAAGCTTTCTACGTCCACAGCATGGTTGCACCCAAAAAATCAACTGCAGAAGAAGGATCATCCGGAACAGAAGCCATAAGTTGACACAAGGCACTTACTTTTGAGCCAAAACTCGCGTATGTGGCCATCACGTAGAAAAAAGTTGCTCAATGTGTCCCACTAGGTTGAAACACGTCATTGTAGGAATGCCACCCTCCAGATCTTACTACTGTGACCTGTTGGTGCTGAAAGAGCAATAAAGAAGATGGTGAAGAAAAGGAGGCAGCAGTAAAACTGGATTTACCGAGTTTTTTGTGTCAAGAAGTCAGATTAGGTCACCTCCAGAGTCTAAACCACAGGAGAAGGATCGTCTTTATACACAGAGAGCAAGTAAGAACTCTACCTCCAAGACCTTCCTATCGCAATCTAATCTGCAGATGCTAACAAGCCATAAGAAAGATGGTAAAGAAGAGGAAAAGGAAAAAAGAAAATATCAGTGAACTTGACTATCTGAGAAGCCCCGAAAGAGTCAACTGCAGAAGAAGGATCATCCTAACCCCGACTCATAACCGGCCTTATGCTGTTAACACAGGCCTAAACCTACTATGTATCATACTTGATTGAAGGGTGCCTTCCTTGGCTCCGTATAGAAAAAGTGTAGGAACACCAGCTAATATGAGAATTGTGCTTGATCACGGCAGCACTATTCACTATTTTTGTAGAAAACAGTGTATATAATAGTAATAAATATCTTATTTTACGTTTCTTTTTTGTATATTGAGAGTGAATGTATTCATTAGTCCGGGATGAAGGGAATATATTCCTTGAAATCTAGACAAAGGTACTGGTTTCTTTTCTTTCAAATTGGCCCTGTCCTCCTAGTTTTAAGTGAATATTTATAAAGACGATTGAATTTAATCGTTCTAACCAGTTAGAAAAATGTGTAAACATTGTGAACCTCACTGTGAACGTTAATCTTAGGGAAACGGCGTTCCCAAATGAACTATTAGGTCTTTCTTGGAGCAACGCCAAAAATCAAAAAGCTTGGAAACGTCTGATTACTCTAAAACAACATTATGATCGTGAGTAACATCAATTATTTAATGTACTGCCAAAATAAAAGTTCCATATGTAAATTTGTTTTTCCAGTCACCTACCAGCCAGAGAACCTCACTGCGTACCCAAATTATATCAAGCATAATCTTCTTGATTATATTGAAGAACGCAAAAAAGAGATAGTGAATGAAGCCATGGATCTAAAATATGATCTTGATGGTAATTACTAACATTATAAATTATATTTTTCGCCTAACTCCCTTTATAAATGCAAATGTAACCTACTGATAATTTTTTACTTTTTGCTTGATGGGTTGATAATATGTACAATAGTTTATATTAGAGGTATAAAGGACTGAGGTGGCAAAGTGCTTAAGGCGCCCAACTTGTATTTGCCATGCTAGAAGTCATGGGTTCAGATCCCAGCATAGCCCATGGTTTTTTAATTGAAAATAGTATGAAAAATTTATTGTAAAGTAGTCTGATCCTTCGTCTGCTCCACCCAATTGCTGGTTGGTAAGCTCTCATGAAAGAGAGAAATTACTTACTTTTACTTTATATTGGAGGCATTGGAAAAGCTTTGGAATTTATCTAACCACATTAATTCCATTTTGAAATGCCTCTGCTTCTTAGACTCTTTTTTATTAGTTTATTAGAAATTTTGTTTATTAAATGTAAAATAAAACAAACATGAGAGTGATGATGATTTTTTGTTATTAACATGCATTAATTGATGGCACAATGGTTCAAAAGTGAAGGTCTAGGAGGTAGAATAACATTGCATTCTCTCATGTAGAAATGTGTGGTGATTAGTGAATGTTAGTCGATGATTATTTGGAAATCGTGAGATGCGGTCTGGTGTGATGTAGGTTTCAGAAAAACATTTTCTTTATCGTGCCAGCGTTTCGATCTTTACTGAGATCATCTTCAGGGCCTGGGATTTACAAACATTGTTTAAATTTAACAAATACATGCAGGATGTGGAAAAAAGTGAATTTATACAATGCAAAAAAAATATATTTTTTTGTATTCAATCAAAGTATTTCTACTGACTCAAAGTGTTTGTTTTCTGCGTAAGAATAAAAAATATATTTTTTTTTGCATTGTATAAATTCACTTTTTTCCACATCTTACATGTATTTGTTAAATTTAAACAATGTATGTAAATCCCAGGCCCTGAAGATGATCTCTATAAAGATCGAAACATTGGCACTATAAAGAAAATGTTTTTCTGAAACCTACGTCACACCAGATCGCATCTCACGATTTCCAAATAATCATTGCATTTTCTGTCAATTCAACATTTTGTTTTTAACATCAAATTATCCTTTTTTAATTTCAAATTAACCTTTTTAAAATACAAATTAAACTTTTTTTATATCAAATTAACCTTTCATTAAAACACTAAAAAAACTTAGGGAGGTGGTATGAAATACAAGCATGAAAAGTAAAATTCTTTTATTTTATTTTATTTTTTTAATATAAAATAATTCTGTCATGCTAAGAAGAAATGCCATTAATTTGAAATTAAAAAAGGTTAGTTAAAACTACACTTACATCGCTTGATTAGCTTGTTAAATGATCTCATTTTCTACTTAATCAGTGTCTTTTATATCAACAAAATTAACAACATTGGGGATCAATCAAGAGGACAAAACTGACATTTCGACATCCAAGTTGGTTGGATAATTAATTTCATAAAATCAGATCTAATGTCATCAATTTTGTTTCCTTTTCATTCTAGAATTCAACCAGTTCACAGTCAATTTCACATGATAAATTCTCAAGGAAAATCTGAATGGGTCGGCAGACGCTGTCACATTTGTCCTGCGATGGGACAGAATGGGGATTAACTATTAGGGCAGTCTTTTCCAACTTCTTTTCAAAAAATAAATAAAAACTAAAGTATGGGCCCTTTCAATTCCAGTCACATCGTCTAACCTGAAATGTATTATGTATGCATGCTAATTCTCTGATGAGAAGTTTGAGTCAGCAAACTTATTCTGTACTAATATAAGTAAATCAAAAGTACTGTAATTATCATTCGAGGCTAACTTTTTATAAAAATTTAAGTACAGGGTCTCGATAGAAAAAAAGGTTTCATTAGCATTATGAAGTATTTTTCTATAATTTTCTTCAAATTAGAAAAGTACTTTTTTTTAAGTTACATCTTTTATCACAAATTGTTTATAAATGGCTTGATGAACACCACTTTTCTCTGTCCCTTAGGTTTTGAACCTTACGAAGGAGAAGATTTCACCCGTCTTCGGGAATGCAGTCAGAAAATTATTTCACGGTTGAAAGAACATTTGGAGGCCTTAAAAAATGCTTGTGATTTATAAAACTAATAAAAAGTCCTCCCTGATTAATTAGAAAATTTAGCTGTTCATTTTTTTTTCTAGTTTTAATTTACTATCATTTGTTAATTACCATTAATATTATTTTTGTGACTAGTTTTTTTAATTATTGTTTACAATACATGCCTTAATAATTTATGTATTTAAATGAAATAATTATGTATTCAGCAAATTTCATTTTTTAAATAGCATGATGTATAAATGTACTTGGCGTATCTCTTGCCAATTGGATATTCATTTAATTTTGATTAGTTTGCTAGCTATTTTATGCAGTTATTCCATCCATTTTTAATAAAGTGTTTGTTATATTTCTAATTGAAATAGTTCATACCTAAGCCAATTCAGATAACCCTGAAAACAACAATGAAGAGATTATTCTACAAGGTAACCAGAAATATTCGTGTGGTTTTTCATTTGTTATTGTTTAATACCATTAATAAACATTTCTATTTACAAAAGAGGGATAGATATTTACATCACTTAAATACCAAGAGGATAATGCCGTCCATTCATAAAGTGTCTTGAACAGTTCATTGTAAATTATAATTAATTTTCTTTCTCATGGTGACATTTGTGCATGCTTATTGTATGATTTAAGCATCGTACGAGGTTGGCCCAGGTGACTCGTAAAATTGGCATTGCATTCAGTGATGAAAATGATGAAGTGAGTGCCAAAAAATAGTTCAAAAATTTTGTTTCTGTGAATGGGAGGGGGGTTGAAAATGATGGTCTGGTAGACCCGTCTTAAATGAGAATCGAAGGAAGCTATAAAACTTGATTAGAGTTGTACATTTCAGGAGCTCACCAGAGTGTTCAAACGTAAGGGATGAAATCATTCGCTCTGCTTAGATCGATTTGGGAAGATGTGAACGGTGAGCAAATGGGTTCTTAAAAGTAGTCCAAGATAAGTCGTAAACATTTGCCTCACATGGCACAAAGTAGACATTTTTGGACTGGTTTGTAACATGCAACAAAAAATAGATTCTGTACAGTAACACCAGGAGGTTGTACCACTGGCTGTCACCAAATGACCCTGTCCTATTGACACAAAAATTATATAATCACTGACAAAAGAATACGCTTTGTGTTTAGTGGAGTATGCAGGCATTGTGCACTGTGGACTCAGATGGCCAGTCCATCAATGCAGAATTCTACTCAAGCCAACTGCAACGATTATCTCTTGATGGTCGAGAAACAACCTCTCCCATGAACAGGAGAGGTGTAATTTTCTACCGGGCAACATGAGACATATCAACCAGAGGTGATAACGAAACTTGGTTGGGAAGTCCTACAAATGAACAATCCAGATCTGACTTGGGGATCTTTTTACATGGAGGCATTACTCCTTTCCATAGCAATGGACAACATTATGCACAATCGGGGGCTTGATAATCTCCAACAGCTGAAAAATGAGCTGAATTTATTTTTTTTAGTCTGGAGACCCAAACTTTCATACAAAGGACATTACTGAGCTAGTAACGCGGGAGTAAATTATAAATGCCGAAGGAGGCTGTTTTCTTGAATAAAATATTTCTAAAATAATTTCAATTGAGACTAATATTAAATCTTTAAACCTGCATGAACTTTTCAGGTGTTGTGCCCTATGCATTGTTTCCATTTTCTGGTAAGTTGAAGCCCTCCAATCTGTTTTCAGACATAAGTTTGTAATTTTTAGAGATGGATAGACCAATTCCTTAAAAAATAAAATAAAGGTAAAGAGGTATTTGTCTAATTTGATCATTTATTTAAAGGAAATGGGTGCTAATTCAAACTAATAGCAAATATTTTTCCCAAAATACCATTCTTTCATGTTTTAACATTTGATAGGTGTTTTAATGTAATGTATAATTACCTAATTAAATAATTTAGTAATAAAATAATCTGTAAAACCCATTTTATACAATATATGAGATAGAATAAGACTCCTGCTAGCAAAAAAAGCAAGCTTTAGATGCAAAAAATTAAAGAAAAATTTCAATTTTTTCGTAGTGTTGGTATGGAATGATTTTGGGTTTTTATTTCAAAATAATAGCAAATGCATGTCACAAAATACCATTCTTTCAATTTTAATTTTATATACATTTACCTAATTAATTAATTTACTAATAAAATAATTCGTAAAAACTATTTTGTACAATATCTTAGATAGAAAAAGATTCCTGCTAGCAAAAAAAGCAAGTTTTAGACGCAAAAAATTAAAGAAAAATTTCAATTTTTTCATAGTGTTGGTATGGAATGATTTTGGGTGTTTATTTCAAAATAATATCAAATGCATGTCACAAAATACTATTCTTTCATTTTTAATTTTATATACAATTACCTAATTAATTAATTTACTAATAAAATAATTCGTAAAAACTATTTTGTACAATATCTTAGATAGTTAAAATCTCCTGCTGGCGAAAAGCACAAGGGGCCTTGTGTTTACAAGCTATAAATAAATGCAAAGGCTTTAGATGAAAAAAAAAGAAGAAAATTTTTTTTGTAGTGTTATGGAATAATATTTGGTTGTTATTTCAAAATAATATCAAATGCACATCACAAAATACCGTTCTTTCGTGTTTTAATGTTCGATAGGTTTTTTAATTTTATGCACAATTATCTAATTAAATCTAATAAAATAATCTAATAATGCTGCTCTAAAAATAATGCTAATAAAATAATCTGTAATAGAAAGAATACTGCTAGCGTAAAAGCACAAGGAGCCTTGTGGTTACAAGCCATAATAAATTCAAAGGCTTTAGACGCAAAATTGCTATTTTTCGTAGTTTTGTAACTGAATAAATTTCTGGCGTTCAAAAACGTAATTTTTTGCATTTTAATTTCTTTTTTAAACAGATAATTACATGAAACACGTTGTTGTATTGTTTATGGTCCAATAAGGGTTTTAGTTAGAAAATAAAATTCAAGAAGAAATTGCCAAAACACCAAATGTATCAATAATTTTTTGACCCATTGTATAATATTCACCAGTAAAGTAACGCAAATAATATTTTACTAAAAATATTATTTTGTTTAAGTCTCCCTCTCACTGTGTGTTGGGTTTATTTTTTTAAAAACAACAATACCTTGTGCTGTTTTATGTGCCAAAGATAAAGAGAAACGAATAAATAAAAAATCAGAAATATCGTTGACGTTTTGGAAGAAACGGACTCTGAGAATATTTACCGGATTTCCGACCGCGGGAGGATTTGTACCGCATCGACCCGTTTAACTCAAGTGGAATGAGGCCCACGCCCAACCCGTTATCTTTGTGCGAATACAAACAAATATAAGTTATTTGTTTCTCCAAGAACGGGCGTAAACAAACGAAGAGAAAAAAAACGGGCGCTATTCAGTGATAAAGTGAGAAAATTCCAAAAATTATTGGGGGTCTCTCAAATAAATACACTGAAATCAACCAAACCTAAAATGCTAATTTTTAGAAGATTTCGGATGTAATAGAAGTACAGGTGCTTGCAAGAGAGCAAAAGTACAATTAAAGAGTGATTGATTACTGATTACTGATATATAAATTGAAATCTGCACACGCCTGTGCAAAGCTGAGCTTATCACGTCTCATCCACCGGCAATTTCATCTTTTGTAATTTACAATAAATTACCAGCCAAGGGTGGATTCAGGTTGGTCTTCGGGGGGGGTGGGGGGTGTAAAAATTTTGATTTTTTTTTCACAGAGGACCTAAAAACGTGCAAATTGAGTGACAACTACGCATCGTTTTTCGCCCGAACGCAATACTTTCTCCTTCAAAGGGAAAAACTGGAAAAAAAATCACTTGATTTAAATGTTTGAATAGTTTAATTTCAAAAAGGCGCATAATTTTCGTAAGTTTCCAAAATATTTTTTCCGTCATAGTCTGCAATGTAAATGTTTTTGGTCACCGACATTAACGAATGTAAAAAAATTATCGCCTATCACATCAAGAGATAGAAGAAGAAGATTAGAGGTAGAAATCAGAAAAGCACCAGAAGGACATGTCTAATCACGAAAAAAATCATGGTCTGCAATGTAATTTTTTAGCACAAAATATAAACGAACAAAAAAAACCCCTCACGGCTGTAAGGAGGGAGAGGTAGACTTCTTTTTTTTTGCGGAACCAATCCAGCGGTGCTAAAAATTTGCTACTTTAAAAATTATAGAATAATTTGAAAACAATGGGTATATATTATTATTTATTTTATACAAAACGTAACATCATAAACATATTGTAATAGATAAAAAAATTAGTCAGATGTTTTTATTTCTTATTAACAGCTGGCGTTAAATTAAATTAGATTCCGGCAATTGTTTCCTCGACCACTGAAAATAATGACAATAAAATAATGGTGTACAAGTTAACACCTAAATTGAAATTTTATTTAAGCTATTTATTTAATTATTTTCTCGTGTAACTTCACTATTACTTTTTAGTAACAGTATGAGATTTACGGAAAAAGATGGCCACACCATTTTTTTTAATAATATACACAATTTTAAGGACTTTTGATTTTTACCGTGATTTCTCTGTTAATTTAAAGGAAATCTTGACACATATTTGGTAACAAAAAAATCAAGAAACGCCTAGGGTTACATTTTATTATAAAAACATAAATTAATTTGAGCTTTTAAACGAAAGAAATTAGGTTTGAAAGTGCCGTATTTGAGAAAAAAAATCCTGATTAAAAATGGGATTTTTTCAAATTATGATAACTTTTAATATACTGCTTGGATTTGAGCCAAATCGGGCTTAAAAGTTAACAGGAAGAATCCAGCTTAAAAACGGTTCCAAAATTGCCAAAATCCAATAATGAGTGACGGAGCTAGGAGGGAGTGAAATAAAACAAGCCGAACTGTTGGGTGGGAGAAAAATAAAAAGTGGCAAAAATTTTGATTGAATTTTTTAATCTTAATCGCCTATAACTCTGCGACCCCCAGTCGATTTGGCTGAAAAACAACCCCAACCGTTCTTTTAGGATTGTTACCACCCTGCCAAATTTCATTGGTATGCGACCGCTAGTGAGCACTAGGTTTTTGAAGAAATCTACCTAAAATTCAACATCAACTTACAGGTTTCTTGATATCAAATCGAGTGATCGAAGTATCGAACCGGGAGACAAAAAAGCCAAAGCGAGACAAGTTAAGAGGAAACTGATTTAATTTAGCGAAGGTTTATCAAAGGTAACAGATCAAGGTTTATATAATCCTGAAATATAAGCCCTTCGCTTAATTAAGGCTAAACTAAGACATATTACATATAACATATAACATCGTCATTTGGCTCCATGGAGGGGGGGTTAATTCCCCTTTTACACCCCCCTTGGACTCAAGTGTCATCCACCGCGTGTTTGGATGTCTGGAGTCAGACTTCGTCCAGGTACTCAGTTGGGCTCCGGGGGCTGTCAGCTAGGCCATTTCAACACCCAACGCAATCACTTCCTAAATCCAAACACATTCACTAATAAATACATTCTTTCCTAATTACATACCATCTCTCAGGATGGTGTAGTATTTAATATTCCTCCATCACCCTTTACACCTATTTTATGACTAACCTAACTGGGGGCGGGGTCGATGAGTACGCTAATAAATACATTCATTCTCAACACGCGCTACGGACAGAAAATTTTCATTACTATGTACAATAAACAAACCGGTCGGAATAGGGGATCCCAGATACTCGCTGTCATGCTCAAGCTCAATTCTCATATTCGGCAGGATTCCTACACGTTCTATATATGGAGCCAAGGAATTCCTTCAATTAGGAGGGACACATCGAACAGCCTTTCTCTGCATGCCGGACACATACGTGGGTTTAGGTCAGTGTGTCAACCTCGAATGGCATATTCTTAATCGTGGATCCCTCACCTACGAGTCAGGTCCTCCGAGGGCCACCAGTCACAGTGCTGTTGATACGCGAGAGCTTCTCAGCCATCCCCCCCCCCGATTCTTCCACAAGTGTAAACTTAAAACAATTGCACTATGATAGTAATATAGTATAAAATGCTTGCCAGATTGTTAAATTTTACTAGTTTTTATTAAGAAATAACGAGAAAAACAGGACCACAATCTTTAAGCCTCAAAAATTTGTCTGATTATATGATAGAAACGAACAAATATTGCATTTTTGTTTGGACATTTTAAACAGTTGTCTTTGACAAAATGTAATCTAAGTTTATTCGATTTGAAAACGTATAAATTTACAAATTTCAGAGGTGTCTTGCCTTGCCCATTTAATGCTTTAAATCTCTAAGTAAAGGAAAGAACAAAGTAATCAGCGGGCAGGATAAAAAGTCCGTTTTTATAAAGGACTTTAAAAAATTCCTTTCTTCCTTATTTATTGTTTTAAAAAAATAAAACAAAGGTCAGGGAGAAGCCCCGCTACGATCAACCGGCCTTATGATCACTGAATAAAACCGATGAGGGCGAAAATGCCTGGAATTTGGCTCAAATGAATCATAAGCCAACGATTGAAACTAAACAACCTCCATTGTTTCTTTCAAGGCTGTTAACAATGTTTGTTAAGTTCGTTTTTATCAACACGGGCCTTTGTATTGAATTTTTCGCACCCACTCATCATTTACGTTTGGACTTTCCACTTGAGCTATTCAAATCGTGAAAGAATGCGTTTATTCTACATGAAATTTTTTAAAATACTATACAGCTGTTTGCTATAAATTAAAAATAGATTTCCCATTTGAATATTTTCCTACTCAACCTCACTAACATAGTTAATTTTTTTTAAAATCTAAAAATTGTTTATTAAATAAATAATATTTTTTGATAATAAAGTATTTTTGGCTTATAACTAGCATAACCCAAAAAACAGTTTATTAGTATAATATGGATGCATTTCTCTTTTGTTTTAGACTTGCATTAATAATATTAATTTTGATTCATAATATACAGATTTTTAAAAGAACTATCAAAGGATTTTTTTCATCGAGGGTTCTGGTTAGGGTAAAAGAAGATCGTTTAATTTTTGGAAACATTCCCTCCGCTTCTTTTATCAAGAAATCGACCAGGGAGAAGAAGTCTATTTAGTTGTTTAAATATATCAACTTTCCGTTTTATTAATTTTTTTTATCGAGGATTTTGTCAGTGAAGAAGAAATCCGTTTAATTGTTTTAAAAACATTGTTTGGTTTTTCTGTTACTTTTTCGTCGAAAGAAAGACGGAAAGTCAGAAAGAACAAAACTGTTTTTGTTTTTTTTTAATATTAGATTTCCCGATTTCCATTTTGTTATTTTTTTTCATCAAGGAGTCGCCCAGGAAAAAAAACGCCGTTTGGTTAAAAAAAAAATAAATTTCGATTTTGTTACTCTTTCGATGAGGGGTCGGCCAGGAAAGAAGAAGGCATTCAGTTTTTTAAATACATCAACTTTCCGTGTTATTAATTTTTTTATTGAGGATTTTGTCAGTGAAGAATAAATCCGTTTAATTGTTTTAAAAATATAGTTTTTTTAACATTAGATGTCCCTTTTGTTATTTTTTTCATCAAGGAGTCGTCCAGGCAAAATAAAAACATTGTTTTTTTCTGTTACTTTTTCGTCGAGGGGTCGGTCAGGAAAGAACAAGGCCGTTTAGTTTTTTTTTGTTTAAACATTAGATTTTCCTTTTGTTATTTTTTCATCAAGGCGTCGGCCAGGGAAGAAATAGGCTATTTAGTTGTTTAAATACATCAACTTTCCGTTTTGTTAATTTTTTCTCGCGGAAAAAATGACATCATCGAAGAAGAAATCCGTTTAATTTTTTTTAAAGACATAGTTTCTTTTTTTGTTACTTTTTCGTCGAGGGGTTGGCTAGGAAAAAACAAGGCCCTTTTAGTTTTTTAAACATTATTTTTTCGTTATTTTTTCTTCAAGGTGTCGCCCAGGAAAAAAGAATGCCGTTTAGGTATAAAAAAAAAAAAAAATAGATTTTGATAATTTTTTATCGAGGGTTCTGTCAGGGAAGAAGAACTCCGTTTAGTTTTGTAAACACATTACATTTCACTTCTGTTGTTTTCATCGAGGTGTCTCCCAGGGGAGAAGAAAGCCTGTCTATTTATTCTAAGCCCATCTGTTTATTCTAATATATTTATTTCTTTAAAACACGCTTCACTTTGGCGTCAAACATTTAAACGGTAAAACATGCAATGAAATAAAATTGTGTGCTTAAACAGAAACTGATCAACAGTGAGTTTAAATTAAATTAACTTACCACATAAACAGCCATTAATTAATACACAAATAATTACACCGATTTGTCAATGATTACGCGGCTGATTCACCAAAAATTAACTCAGCCTGGTTTGTAAGATTTCGAGTCAAATGGCGGCCAAAACTTGCCGGTTTTCAATTTAAAACAATCTTTGTGAGCTTTCTGTTGTTTGATCAATATTAATGTTTAAGTTTACCCTGAAAACATTATATATTGACATTATTAAAATTCTGGACCAATGGGCATAATTAATTATTTAAAAGGGTTGTTTTTAGAACGCTCAGAACTTTTTTTTACTAATGGATCGTTAGTGAACGATGGTAATTAATGGTATTTTCATTGAATTGTGATTATAATAAATAATCAAATAGATTACACGACATTTGAAAAATGGCAAAAAGGAGTGAAAATCAAAAAAAAAAAAGTGGGGTTGAGATGGGAAGTTAGTGTCCGAGTGGATCGAGGTTAAGATAGCTCAAGTGATAGAGCAGCGGCGTATCATGCCGAAGATCGTGGGTTCGAATCCCGCTCGTGACACTGACTTTTTTATCTCAACTAAAAATCTTAATTAATTGAAAGATATTAATTGGGCTAGCGGACCACGAAAACTAGTGAATTATAATAAATAATATATACGTAGGTCAATCTCAAATAGAAACGTCTATATTGATATTATAAAAGAAAATATTTTGGAAGCAAAGAGCATGATTTTTTTCACTCTTTGCTTATATTACATCTTGCAGAATTTTAAAAGGATACATTTCTCCTCTGTGTAGTACTTGAATTTAAAAGGGTAGTTTTTCGAGTGATAATAACCATAAAAAGATACGTTCAAGGAGTAGCAGTTCACGCTGTCTTTCAACGCATCGCACAGGACCCTGGAAAAAAAGTAAAAATCATAAAATTGTTATCACATTAGGGCAAAAGATTCTATTCAATTGCAATTTAAAGAAAAGCAGGGTGAAATACAGCCTCGTCAGGAGCCAACGCGGATTTGTATTGGAACATTTCCAAATGTTGTCCCCGCGGTTTAGAAGAAAATGGAACGAAGTAACGTGTTATAAACAGAGAAAACTAAGCATTCTACTCTTTTCTCGTTTCCGTGTCTCACAATTGATATTGATTTATGATTGTTTTTTAAACTAAAAGTAACTTTTGTTTTAAATGACTTTTATTTCTATATTGATTCTTTTGTAATAAATGGCAAGAGAGCTTGTCCATTTACGCCAAGTCAATCTACGATCCCTCGACGACTATATTTTAAAAGCGATTGTGCTCTTAATCATTCGAATAACCAGGAAACATCCGAGTGAATTAGATGTTTCCCACAATTTTGTAAACAAGCACATGCGAGGCATTAAAATGGCCCCCCACGAGCTAACAAATTATCCCCAGCCGGCCTTGCTCTAGAAAAACTCCACTGATTTTTATTTCATCGACGAATCAACACTTGCTATTAAAAGTGGGTTTGCTTCAACAACCCTAACACCGTTAAGTCGAGGGTGATCTTCCCCAAGGCACAGGTTTACCGAAAAAAGTCATGTCTCAAGTGTACTTTGCTTTGTATATCATCTTCTGATACCCACTGCTAAATAGAATTTTGTCGTAGTGACCGAGAAACGGATTAATGTAGGTTAAAATAATTTTAGCAAACAAAAAATATTCATTTTTGGAGCTGGATATGGAAATATTCGTTTTTCTTTCGCCGAAGTCCGATGTTCCACTTACAAATTTATAACACTTTTGGATTTGTTTGAACACCTGAATGTTTCTACACCGTAATATAAATTTTACATTGGAAATTAGCAAAGATGGTTGTTTGAACTTTTTAGACTTAAAATTGACCATAATAAACAACCTAATAGAAATAGACGTATATAGAAAACCCACAACTACAGACACTATGATACCAGCGGATTCTTCCCACCCATGGTTCCAAAAGGCTGCTGATTTCATTTGGCTCATAGACCGGATGTTAAAACTTCCATTAACACCTGCTAACTATAAAAAAGAATTAGAAACTATTAAAACCTCAGCAAAAAACAATCGGTATCTAGAAATATTTATTGATAGGTTGCTAGTTAAAAGAATAAAAAAATTAACTTTAAACGAGTCAACAATAGGACTCAGCCACCCCACCATAAATGAATCATTAGGTTTCAGTTGTTTGCCATACATTGGTGAATTATCTGAAAAATTAGTAAAATTTTTAAACAAGAAGGTTTTATAATAGCTTATAGAAGTACGAGTTCACTCTCAAAACCTAAAGACAAAGTAGTCAACTTGGCAAAAAGCGGAGTTTACCAATTTAAATGATTGTGATATTAAATATATAGGACAAAGCGGTAGAGAAATAAAAACGAGAGGAAAAGAACACTTTCCTAAATTGAACAAATTTTCGGAATTTAAGGACCATCTAAAAGAAACAAATCATAATTTCAATTCAAATTTAAATACAAGAGTGTTACATAGTTTCAACAGAGGGAAAGAACTAGATTGGTTTGAGAAATTTGAAATTAAAAATGTAAAATTGAACATGGTGATAAGTGCATTAATAATATAACAGATTTTGATCTACCTCCCATTTTAAATATATATACATAAATAATATTAAACGTCCAAATAATTAAATTAATTATTCTAATTGTAATTACTCTTATAATAATTTAATAATATTAATGTATTATTCTATTTTTTTATCTTTTGTCTTTAATCACTAATGTATAATTAATTTCTTACAGTGTTTACTATTATAATATTTATTTGTGTCATAATTCCCGCTTTTCGCGCGTTCAAATTGAGCGCCATTAAAAAACCAGCTTCTCATTCTCAACGTCGCGTTGGGTGGGGGTATCGGCGGGTTCACTTTTGCAATTCATGTCGAGAGACGTGGTAGAAATCCTTCAACCTGATGATGAGCTAAAGGGCTCGAAATCCGGACGTTGCGAAACAATTTACTGCGAGTAGGAACTATCTTTTTGAAAAGGCCTGAATGTTTATTCTTTTAGGCTAGGTCAACAACGTTTTGTGCATTAAAGGAGAGAAAAATAGACGTGATCAACACAAACTTCCCAATCGTTTTATCATATTCCAATTTTCCAGGATGTAGCAAATGTTTGTTACTTTTTCTTAGTATTTATTTAAATGAGTGTTAGCAGGTCGTTTTCAATCACCTGAATCTCCATTTATGATCTTAGAATCTTTCTTTGAGATTTTTTATACAGTCTTTTTTAATTTTTGACCCCAAAAAGCAGCTAAGGGTAGCAAATCACTGGATCCGTCTAATTCGGTGCTTTACGTTTCATGATTTTATTTAGTTAAAATTATTGTAGATTCCACGCATTTATTTTTTTTGTTTAATTTTCATTTTAATTTTTTGAGTTTTTAACAGGGGTTCGCAACTGCAGAGGTCATATCAACCCTCGGTGTGCCGGTGTTTTTGAAAAAAAGCCCATTTGTAAGTATGTCGGGTTCGAATGCAAGGCCGCTGGATTCGAACTCAGGACTTTTACCTTACAGGTATGAGCGCCGTGTCAACCGTGTGTTGCGGACACCGACGCCCCCTCCACGCAGTTAATTATTATAAATATTTTTTCTCTTTCTTCTTCCAGTTGAGTTTTTTAAAATTATGGTTTATTCTAAGAAGCACGTGGCTTTTTCTTTTTTCTTTAGGCAGCCACTGATGACGTGATGCCGACTTGCTGGGCGAAAAGTAAATCAGCTATAGTATACAATACCGACGTGGGATCACCGATTGTTACGAAGTTTTTTTGGTGGTAGTAGGTTGAAAAAATATTATTGAATATCTTATATATGAATAGGCAAAAAACTGTTTTGGAACCCCCCCCCCCTTCAAAACCCTTAAATAACTACTTATATGCCAAACAAAAATAGACATTTTTGGGCTGGATTAGCAGACGCGGTTTTTTCCTCCGGTGTCCTGTTGTTGCGCTTAAAATATTCAACTTTTTTGAATTTGATCAAAATGTCCATATTCAACGTTGTAACATCCGTTGGAAATTAGTTGTTCTGCTTACATTTTGTACGATTCTAAAAAAGAAAAATAATGAAAAAATCAACAAAAACTCCTTAAAACGTTTTATTTTATAGTCATATAGTGGATGCTTGAATTTTAAATTTTTTTTTAAAGGTGCTGCAGAGTGGGATGATTCAGATAGAAAACAAGAATCTTTTACCACTCCAAAACCATCACACACTACTTAAAATGTTTTTTTTTTTTTTTTTTTTTTTTTTTTTAAATACGCCTCTAATGTATTGTACTTAAGGATGCCAGGTTTGTCTCATAACTTTTTGTATTTAAGCCCTATAGAATTTCCGGCAGTTCAGTAGAGTTATTTTAACATATTAGTATTTATTTGATTGAAAAAATGAGAAGCATTTGGAAGGCAATAAATTTTATTACAATTTCCTTCAATCATTACCGTCGCGGTTGATTTAGTTTTTGCATGTAATATAAAATAGAGCTAAAATGGTTAAGCAGTTTCTACTGAACTTTATTAACGTTTGCATTATTTTTTTAAATAATAATTTCCTTAATATTACCATGTTTTGTGTTTCTTTTATCGTTTACTATCTGTACAAATGATATAAATTGTGTAATTATTTGCTTTTTCAATTAATAAAATAAGATAATACGCAGTATAGTATTAAACGAGATTAGATACTTAAAAAGTTACAATAACGAAATCGTGCTACAATGAAGGTGGTAAAAAAAATTTGGATTTAATTTAAGCACACTTTAAAGCCCTTAAGTACGAATCATAGTAGTAAACAAACAATAGACTTCATTGGGATGGGTCAGCCGGGGTCTTAATCTCTCTTCATTCTGCCTACGACCAAATAGAAGGAAAATTACAAGAAGACCGTATGAAAATATGATTAGATATGCAAGTGAGTCTAGGGATGTGGGATCACCGATTCTAGTGAAAATATTTTTATAATACTAGTTGGAAAATTGTTATACACGTTTCAATGCCTTTTTTGCCCAACCCTAAGCGCTAAGAAATAAAAATGCTTTCTATTCTGTTTAAAAATTTTACCGTTCAACTTTTTGGAAGATAGTGGTGTATTTTCCCATGGGTTCTGAGTATTTGGTTCCAGGTCCAAATACTCCTGCCCCTGTACCTTTTGTGTTCTAGCTCCATCTGTGTACCAAAGTATGGTGCTATTCTTGAAAGAGTTGTTTCCCTCTCGTTCCCATTCTTTTTTGGTACCTAGGTTTATTCGTAGGTTTTGATTAAATTCAAACATCCTGTTCATGTCGTCTCTCGGAGCCATGAGTATCGTATGGTCTTTCGTATTGATATCTCTCCATTTTAGTTTTATTCCTGTTGGAGGTTTCTCTTTGGTAAAATTAATGATGGTTTTCTGCTCTGTCCTTATTACCATGTGGGGTAGGGGGATTAATCCCAGTACTTTTTCCATGCTAATTGTGGGACATGTTCTCATTGATCTCGTTATGCAGATGCATGCAAGTCTCTTTATTTTTGTGAGTAATTTTATTTTAGTTACTTGTTCTGCTTTATCAGCCCAGGCTATAGCTCCGTATATAAGAAAAGGTCTTACTATTATGGTGTACATCCATAACAGGGTTTCCGGTCTGCATCCCCAGTTCCTTCCTGCTATTCTTCAGCAAACCATCAAAGCTCGCGTTGCCTTCGTGATGGTAGAGCCGATGTGTTTCTTAAATGTTAGTGTTTTATCTAGTGTGATGCCCAGATATTTGACTTCTTTTTTGGTTTCTATCACGGTGTTATTGAGTGTTTTTCCCTCATGTGATCAAGTTTCTTTTTCCGTGTAAAAGCGACTATAGTTGTTTTATTAGGGTTGATTCCTAAGTCAGCGGTTTTACACCATT